AGTCAGTCAGTCAGTTAGTAAGTCAGTCAGTCAGTTAAAAACTGCAGACTGCCGTTTTCTCACTATTTGGTGTAGTTTTAAATAAAAATTTCTTAATTTTTCCTCTAATAGACAAAAAAGAAATTTGTGTTATAAATGCGTGATCGTGAGTTTTTTTTCACGTGCACAGCTCTAATCTAGTGTGCAGGCCGCTTGTTAATAGTTTTTGGTTGCCTTGTAAGTCAAAACTAGCAATTTAAGTTAATTGACATTCAAATGCAGTTGAATAAACTTTTTGAGCAAATGGTGTGAAGCTGTAATGGACGATTGTTAGCTTTATATAGTTGCTGTATCTCAGACTCTTTCTCTCACTCTCTCTCTCTCTCTCTCTCTCTCTCTCTCTCTCTCTCTCTCTCTCTCTCTGTCTTCATCTCTTTGGCCATTTATCATTTAAAGTCGACAATTCGCGCCCATCATTTATAAATTGCGTTATCGTATAAAGCCGTACGGTTGAGTAAATCCATTTAATTGCCGTTGCTGCATCCTTTGGATATCCTTTGCTTTAAAATGCCCGTGTAATGGCCGGGCAGCCGTACAGCCTCCGCAATCACTCCCCGGCTACCTCTACCCCATCCGGATGTGTTCGCACTCGTGTAAACATGCGTTTGTCATTAGACACACCGGAAATATTGACAGGATTCGACACGCGGCGCACGACCAGCACGACGGGCAAGTAACGATTTGATTTTTGAAAATTGCAAAAATTATATTTCAACTGTTTTCATTTTTTTTGTGCCTTTACTTTTTTAAAACTCTTCTTCTTTTTCTTTTTTACTTTTGCGCTTGAGTTCACATCCGACGCCGGGGGTTGTTGATTTTTTTTCCAGGGACTAGGACGTGTGTCCTTTGTCTGTGCATCTTTGTTGTGCTTAAGTGTCGTCACCACGTCGAATTGCAATGCTCAATTGTTTTTTTTTTTTTTTTGTTTTTGTAGTTTGTTCAAGTACCTGAAATTCGGCAGTACTCCGCCGATTTCATACTGAGTCTACTAATTAGATTTTATTGCGTAGCGCGAATCACATTCTCCTCATTGGCCAAGTGTGGCTAATTCGCTTTTTTTTTATGGTGAGAGTTTTTGTTTAAACAATATACGACACAAGAAAAGAGTCTTTGTTTGTATGCAGTCGTTGCTTTATAAAACATACTATATATTCTTATTCCTAAGTCGCTAAAGATTTGTTAGGAAATTGTTGGAGTGTCTTCGTTAATAAAAGAAACAAATTTATATACATAGAAATATATTTGCTTTATTTTAACATACAATTTTGTATAGCTTAGATGTTAATTAATTGAGAGGATTAAATATTTTTAATTAGATAAATAAATTATCAAACTTTCTGTGATGTTGGCTAAGGTCGAGCAAGTTTATGGACATGTGGTTGTCGTGGTCCGCAAGCCTTGATTCCTCAAATTAGATAAAAGTAAAAAGGCAAAGCAATTGCATTGCATTAGCTAAAAAAACACATATCAATAATATATCTTAGTAAATGACTAACACACGGCACAAGAAGTCAAGGAATAATAGATTCTTGCCTAAAATATAAACACAGAATATTGGATATTAAGCATAACGCATTTAGTAAACATTTTTTTTCTTACCGTACCTTTTTGACTTTTCCCCTGGCTCAGTGCAAAGTTTTCAAGGGGACTTGGGTCTAAATTTCATTCTGAAAAAGGATTACGACTATGTTTAGACAAAATAGGATCGTTTTCTTAGATAAAGCCAAAGTCGGCTTAGCGAATTTCCAGATAAAGGATTGGATAAGAAATCAAATTCTGTTCAAATAAATAATAGAATAACAAAATCGCATGTTTTGAATTCCGTTCGGATTCCAATTTTTCTGGAAACAACTTGTGTTTTTTATGGAACTAAAAGAAAATGAGCTCAGTTTGATTCCGGTTGCTATGACCATAAAAAAATTAAATATGGATCTTGAATCATACATCTGTTTTTAAACGCAAATATTAGCGAAATTAGTCACAGGCAACCAAAGTTTTGAACATGCGATTTTAATTCAATACCGCAACCTTCCACGCGCTCACAAAAAAAAATAAAAATAACTCAAAGAACAAACCACTTTCTATGCGGGTGCCGAAATCGAGAGCCGAACAATCGAGCCCTTGAAAATCGACATTGTGGGAGAAATTGTGAAATATGTGCGAGCAATGTAATGTAATTTAGAGCCTAAACAAAATACAAGTATAATAATGCAAAATTTGACAGATTTTCGTGGGAAACTATGAAAATAATTTGTACTTGTAATCCTTCTTGTATAACTATTATTGGCACAATGGGAATGGTGTGAAATTTTTTGTGATAGTCCGAGCACCTGAGCTGCTCACCGTTTTGTTTCCGCCTTGTTTGGACAGATTAGTGAGCTGAGCTACTTAGGGACGACCACTTGTCCAAGCGGTCCGGTAAATGGATTTGTATTTGTAGTTTTCTTTTTTTTTGTGGCCGTACATTTCAATTTTTAGGGAAACTGGTTTTCCGTCAGTCTCGTCAGCTCAATCGAGGGTTGGCGATCAGCCACACCGCAGGACACTCGCGGCGCTCACTCGCCTGGACTCACGCAGAGTGTGAAAGGTATTATCAGTTTGACTCGATCTCATTGTATATACTCGTATATAGTTGTTGCCGTTTATGTTTTCAATTTCGTTTATCAGTTTTTGTGGAAATGCCACGATGAACAATGAAAAATTATGAGACTTGGTTTAAATCATTTACCACTGCTATGATCCTCGAATCAGCGAATCAGTCGTTCGGTCATTTGGTTGCTGGTCGGTTCAGGGTTGTTTTAAGTTGTTCATTGGCTTATCTAACTGCATAGATCTCGCGCGGATGTACTTTAGTATATTTATTCTCCTCATTGTTGTTGCCAATTGAATGGTTTTCTTCCATCCATCCTCTATGCGACTTAATTGCGTGCGAGCGAAATGGAAAGTATAGTTAATTAGCTGCGAATTGTTGTAAGATCGTTAACATTATTCATTGATAAGCTCCTGCAAGTGAAAAAGTGGAAATAAATATTCTACAATGACAATATATTTTTTGTTAATAATACATATATTTATCCGAGTTAAGCTCTTAAGCAAAAATGTGCGGGTCTCGAAAATTCTACTATACTTGGAACTGGAACTATACTTGGAACTGAGCTTTATTCTGTAGTAAATGTATGCTGACCAGATGAGAAAGAATGCGTTCAGAATAACCAAAAACCCTCCTCCCAGACTTGACGCAACTCGTTGGCGCACACTGCAAATCCATTACAAATCTCTTTAAATCAATGGAAAGGGCGTAACTTCCCACGTTGAGCGCTCAAGACCCCGCACTGCGAAACATCAAATTTACGATGACATTTATGTATAAGTTTGGCCAAATATTTTATTGACAGGCGCAAAGAGTTTACAGTCGCCCTGGGAGTATGTCAAATAAATTGTAATAGAGCAGGAGAGAGCGACCAGCAACAACGGGTAATATCAAACCGGAATGGACACAATTGACTTCGACTTCGACATTGACGCAATTGCAATGGAATAGTTAATTTTTGGCATCATTAAAGAGGCACACCCACTTTTTGCCAGGTAGAGAAATCCCTCTATATCTGCCTCTGTATTTCACTTCCAGTCGAGCTTCCTTTCCTTCGTTTTCGGTGTCAACGCCCCTTAAGAGCACCCTTTGCCGTAATCCTTTTAAGTCGCTGCCTGCCTTACGACTGTTGGTCGATATCGCGTGCTATGCACTCAAATATCAAGACACCGCGGGTTGCTCATTCAATTGTTTGTGTCGTGTCATAATTGCACGGTTGCTTTGACGTCTTGCCTTAGAAGTGTGAAAATTATGGGGTTTTCTGGCTTTACCCTATCCTATCGTTGCCATTAAACGGTTATGTTGTTTGTTGGCTTTATCTATGGCCTGAAATCGTCAACGGTATGGTAAGGAAATTTGTTTGCTAACTTTGCTTCATATGCGTGAGCTATGGAATGCCTTTAAGGGTTAGGGGTTGGTTTTTTTCTTCGAGCTGCTCTTTGGGTTTTTATTTTACGTGTTGAATGGCATTAATGAGTCTTGTGCGAAGTTAACAACTGATTTTCTCGGTGATAGCATAACCGTTTTTTGCAAAGGTTCAGAGCTTATCAGTTTAGAGATCGTGAGAAGAAACGTCTTCATGTATGGTTTTAATAATAGCTGGCGAATGAAGTGAATTCAACTCAGACTTTGACTTTGTTTTGAGCATCCTTGAGAAAATCTAAGAGTGGAGCCGTTTCAAACCTCTCCATTATGGATTTTATTATAACAATAACGTCGCTAAGCATCAGGCTGCATTCTAATACATCCTGGCTACGTTCATTAAATTATGTGCCCCTTGTTGGGCGCCCAATTACAAACCGTGCTCATTTACAAACCCAACCACAGTACAGAGGTGGCAGCAAATGCTGTAACTTTTTTTAAAAACCTAATTAGCTTTGACTTGGCTGCACACAATACAATATTGCCTGCTGCCCCGTCTCTTGAAAGCCAGAGGGCCAGAGCGCAGGTGTGTCATTTCGTTAGGCTGGCAGTAAGGGAAACAGTCGGGAAGTGAAGCAGCGACGCAGCAGCGCTGCCACCGGATGGCTGCCGACCAATCACAAGAGTAACAAGAATGCGCGCTGGAAGTCTCTCTCAGAATGTATATTATCCGACGGATAATACTGAATGCCAATGAGAGTTCGGCAGCGAACAACCCTCTGCCCCGACTAGCGGCGTTAGAAGGGACTTGGTATACTGATTCGCAGAGTCAGAAGTAGTCTTCAGTTTGCACTCGTTGCGAGCAGACGTAGTTGCGCGCCGAGAAAAAATTGAAAAAAAAATAAAACTCATATTTTAGTGAAAACACGCAAGCGAACTCAAAACTCGTTTGAGATCTCCATACCCGTGTGGTGCGAGTGCAAGTGTAAAAAGAGAACACTTTTGAACGATGGTCATGAAGTTCAGTGATGTTCCCATGCCAATGGGCACACAGCAATCACGCGTGCTAGCCGATTGGGATATTAACGATGCACAGCCACTTCCGCAGGTCCATGAATTCGACGATTTCAACGACTGGGCCGACGACCATTGTCGCCTGGTCTACTCGGGGGCAAATGAAGAAGCCAAAAAACATGCCAGCGGCTGGGCCATGCGTAACACCAACAATCACAACAACAAGATATTAAAGAAGAGCTGTCTGGGCGTGCTACTCTGCAGCGCCAAATGCAAGTTACCCAACGGCGCCAGCGTCCACCTACGTCCGGCTATATGCGACAAAGCGCGACGCAAACAGCAGGGCAAGCAGTGTCCTAATAGGTAAGTCCAGCTTATTAGTCCAGAAATGATGCGCGATAAAAGCGAAAGGCAATCTAAAAAGCCAACTAGAGTGTAGAGAAATTTTACTTTCAAGCTAACTTTCGAGCACTGCTAATCAGAAGGACTTGCCTTACCAATAGAGCTCCTTGAAGAGCACTTCTTTAAGCCCAAGCTGAAGAAAGAAAGAAAGTGCAAATAGAAGAATCCAGAAAGCTCTTTTAATGCAGTCAAGAAATGAGAAGCTAGGCCAGCCGGCCAAAGAAAAGAAAGACTTGAAAAAGTTCCGAAATTATGATAAAAGAACAAAGCAATTTTAAAGGACTTACTTACAACTAGCCGGGCTGTTATTAATTTTGTGTTTACTTCTGAGCTCCAGAATAAGTCAAACAGAGCTCTTACCAATTGTTAATTTTTGCTTAAGGGACTCATCGATGCAAGCGCACTCCTTCAAATATTCAAGTAGAGTACAAACAGAGCTCTAAGGAACTTTTTAACTCTTTTTGCAGAAACTGCACCGGACACTTAGTCATACAGCCCTGTCGCGGCCATTGCAACTATCCGGTGACACATTTTTGGCGACGCGAAGGAAACGCCATATTTTTTCAAGCCAAGGGCAAACACGATCATCCGCGTCCCGAGGCCAAGGGTTCCACGGAGGCGCGTCGTCTACTCTCCAGCGGCAAGCGCGTGCGCAGTCTGGCCGTCATGTTGGCTCGCGATGCAGCGCTCAACAAAAAATTGGACAGCCTGCGTGCTCCGAAGAAACAGGGCAAGCTGGAATCATTGGTTAGGCGCAAGCGAACGCCCACTATGACTGAGCTACAGTTGGCCAGTAGTCTTGGCCAAAACAATAACAATAACACAGACTCGGCCATTGTGTATAATGCAGCGAGCTTTGCGCAGCCGCAGTCCTCCAACTACACTGGACAAACGACGAGCACACAATGGGACAATGAGCCCTACTATGCACCGGAGTCCGTGAATTATGTCAATGGCTGTGGCTACGATATGCTGTCCTCGCCCGGCTCCAGCATCAGTTCCACGGCCAGCTATTACGGCACATTGAATGCACAGTCGATGCATTCTTACGAACCGCAATCCCAGCAGCAGACACAACAGTCGGGAAATTATCAGCAGTTGGGACAAGAGAAATGGTACTACGACGATACGTCTAGCTTGACGAGCAATACCAGCAACCATACCGACGAATATACGATTTTCAATGGCTACGGAAATGTCTGCATGGACAATAGCATTCCTAACAATAACAACAATCCAACGACTGATGCTTTCTACACCTATAGCTCGGAAGTTTTTAATAGTGTGTTCGAGCCCACCATCAATGGCACATCAAATGCCGTAGAGCTGCTTTACGGCGAAACTGCTGGCTATCAGCAGCAAATCTCGCCACAAAGCTATATCACCTCCTCCTCGCCCTACTCCCAACAACAACAACAACAACAACAACAGCATCAGCAGCAACAACAACAAACTGGAGACTATTACTACAGCAATACGAGTATGAATAATGTGTGGAGCATGGAACAGCTGAATGCTGCAACAACCACAACGCCCTCCGACTATCATCCAACAGCAGTCCCTACAGCCCCCACAACTCTGCCGGAACACAATCTACCGCTTCAGGCCTCGAGCGTCTTCTGTTAATGAAACTGTTACGCCCTGTAGCTCGTTTCTGATCTCGCGCCAACTACAATCGATAACACACTTCCACACACACACACACACACACACAGATACACTCATGCGTTGTTCTAGTCTCTAATTGTTCGCCCATTTTTAAGCCACAATCACTCAGCAGGCTAAGTTCGCTAAAAAAAAAAAAACTATGTTCCATTGCTTGTTGGTTTTAAGTTGAATGTTTCTATACAGAATAGATGTAAGTAAATTGAAGTAAACTTGTTTCCAGCTACTCCAAAGTTATTAACCTAAGTGCATAAATGTTTAATATTAAGGTCATTTAGTAATTAAGTAAGGGACATAACCCACCTCGACTATTTATGAAATTTTAATAAAGAAATTATTGGAAATCTTTAAGAATGAAAAGCATGCAGTGTTGAAATTCATGTGATTTTATTCGCTTGAACGCCAGAAATATTCACAAATTGTTTTTCAATTACTATTTACTTTATTTTGTAATATTCTCTTTGCTCCATCTAAAACCCTTAATCCCAGAAAGAATGCTTGAACATTTCTTGTGTGTTTTTTTTTTCATATGCTAAGCATTTAGCGGTCTTCTCCTTCAGAGTTAGGATCAGTTGTCCTTTGCAACTGTCTTGCCTTTCCAGCCACATAGAACATAATCATTTCTAACATCGCTCGGACTTCTGCAAATATGGGATGTTCGGGCCTAGGATCCTGCACAATTGAAATCAATAAATCATTCACACCATTTACTATGTTGAATGAAGTGTCTATATCGGTATTTAGAATATTCTCAATGGCACGAACATATTGTTCCCGAGGGATGGAGAAAATGGATGAAGCCATTGGATGGATCCAGCGGCCCACCCTAGTATACTCATCAATCATTTCTGCTAGTGTTTTAGGTAGGACAAGTGCTATTTCTTGTAAAAGTTGATCCCTATTTCTTCTTATCTCCATCGTCCTGATGTTTTTAGGAGAACCACTGTCCGGTGCCTCGGATATTTTCGACTCTTTATGGGATGTAGAATTGCATGTTTTCACAGGTTCTGCCGCCTTGACTGATGACCCATCCCCATTTTGTCGTTCGGAAGTTGACGCTTCCTCATTTTGTGGGGCTGGATGTGAGCAGCCGGATGATATCTCACCAATCTGGCGTTTTGAATCAGCTTTTCGTATAGAATTCGTGAATGGTTCCTTATTTTGTTGTCCTTGCTGAGCTGGGGAAGTGGATGGGGATGGGGATTCCTCAACTTGGCGTCTTAATTCAGTTGACCGTCCAGAATGTAGGGAAGGTGATGGGGATGGATCTACAGATGGATCTGATGGTATAGCTTCTGAGGACGATGTACTTATATCGATAGTACGTCGCAAAAGCCTAGCTCTTGGTTGCCGTCTACGCTGCCGCCTCTGCGACATCGCTAGGACTCTAGCCCTTCTTTGTGTTGCTGCTCGCCTTCGTCGCTGTTGTCGTTGAACAGTTAAGCTTTTTGTTGGGCTTCGTCTTCGTCTCTGCCTGGGAGGAGCAATTGGAATTGTTCGTAAAGTGGACAATAGTGAACGAGAAGATCTTCCTCTTTGTCGCCGCCTTGGTGGTACTGCCACAATAGCCTGTGTGGCTACTGATAGAGCTCCTGGTCGGGCTCTTGGCTGCCGTTGACGTTGGACTCGTCTCTGCTTGTCTTGTTCCCGTGGCAGGGGCTCTTCTCGCACGCGATTTCTTAGTCTACCCCTGACAATACGTTGCTCAGAGCCATCAGCCGCTCTTCTACGTGTCGCTACCCGCCGTCTGTTACGTCTAGGACCATCCTGTTCATCTATAAGGCGAAGAAAATCGGGCAACATATTATATAATTCATTCTCATTACTCGACACAGGTGTCACTGATGGGGATCTGCGCCGTTTTTTATTTGTTCGCTTAGCAGCTTCATCCTGGATGTTTTGCCGAGCCCGTCGCTTGGGTTGTGGACCCTCCCACTCATCTGCCATATTTCGTCGTCGCTTGGCCATTAATTTGATTATAGCTTAAGGTCTCAGTGTCTCTCGAAACGTTAAATAATAAAAAGAAATTTTGAAAATTCTTTTGATTTGCAAAACGAATAGAATATTTTTAAATATTCAGTACTAAAGTGCAAACCTTCCTTTTGCTTATTTTCAATATTTTGAATTTTGATTAAATTGTTGCTGCTTTTCTGGTTGCATGTGTGTTATGTGTTGTTTCTTAAGTCTTAGCTAGACTACGACTGTGTTCTACTTTCAAATCAATTGTTATTTAAAACAGAGAAAAAAATCTCGGCATACTTCTTATTAAATAGTGATACCAAAAAGGACAGAGAAAATGCTAATTGTTGGTGAGCCGGGGGGACATTCAAAATGTTGACCAGTAAGTGTTTATGTGTAATGTGTTTTGAAGAATGTTTCTAAGCGCAGTGTGGATGGTAGGCCTAATAGATTTCGTTTTTGAAAACATCTTCCCAGTATTCTTCGAATAGACGGCACAGCTCCTCTTCAGGGGCTCGAAAGACGACCTATTTGACTGCCACACATAAAAACAAAGAGAACGAAGCTGACTGTGAAGCAAGATAAGAAGACGTGACTAAGCAGTTGATATAAGTATAAAGCATTTCTAAATACTATATGGACACATCGCTCGCATCTCCGGGAGACAGCATTGCCAATGTTTTACGCATAATCTCGAATATGCTGCCATTTCTGTGCACATTCCTTACATTACATTCCTTGAAAAACAATTGCATAAATATAGTAAATCAACCAACCAAGCAATTAACGATCTTGGAGCACACATAAATATTTTATTGTATTTAGAATTTTAAAAAGCATAAACTCAACCTACCTTAGCGTAATAATTCAAGTCTGCATTCGACAACATTACATACTAGTGAGGAACTATAATTTGTGAGAAAAGTACACAGGAACACAAATATATTTGTACAATTCAATAATAATCATAATGGCAAAACCACGTTCCAAGCAGCCAAAAAAACGCGGAGCTCCGGCAGCTAGAGGCCGGCGGAATGAGGCAGGGACACGTCGGGCACGAAATCGCCGAGTTGGCAATAGAAGGCGACAGATTCGGCCCAGATTCAGGAATGGGCAGCGCTTAGCTGAAATCCAGCATGAATTGAAGAAGAGATTGCCAAGAAGCAGCGATCGGGGCAGTGTGAGGCCTCCACGTAGACGCAGGTTGGTTGCACCTCGACAAACCAGGACTAGAGTACGTCAAGGACGTGGCAGACTAAATGTGGCACGAAGGCCAAGACCAAGGATGCGTGCGGCGCCACAGCGTAAACGAAAACCCAATGTCTCCACAAAGAAATTGAAAAAGTCGATGGAAGAAGAGAAAACACGAGTTTGTGTGGACAAAATGTCAATTTCAACCCAGACTCCTGACGTCGACTATTTTTACAGCTCACATTTACTCTCAATGCTGGACAGAGGACCAAACTTTGCTGTTCCCCTTACTGCAACACCAAGATCCACTGACATGACTGATGGCCGATCAGGACAATCGAGCAGCTCAATAAAAAACCAGCAAGAGGAGCAAGTGAATCAGGAAGGTGGGTATATCCTGCTTAATACCCGACCAACCGCGCAACTAACAGCCCTCTCTCAGAGCTTTCAAACGAGCATCAGAACAACGCTCCATCGCCTCAAACAAGAATCAATCTTGACGAGGATCAAGTCAATTTTTTTGATGCTTTGTGCGAAGTGGCACACAATCGTAATGAAAATCCGAGGAATACACTTGCCAACCTAATAGCTCGCCAGTCTGTGTACTTTATTGGAGTTCTACCAGACCCTTCGTCGACTTCCCTCGCAGGTGATCAACATAATATAGAGCTTGATCTTGGAGCTGCCGGCGATGGTGTGCACGTAAGCTCAATTATTACAACAAATCAGAATCAATTTGAAAAACTTTTACACCTTTTCAATGAACAACAATAGGTGGGACCGCCAGTATTCGATAACGATGAAGAATCAGATGAATAAAGATACAAAATAAGATACAACACTCAATGGAAAATCAAAATTTAATTTGGAAAAATGTAGCAAAATTTGTATTTGGAAAGTTCCGTTGAACCTTAGCTTCAGTTTCAATTTCAATTTATTTTATACGAATACTCGTATACTAGATTAGAGCCATTTAAAAAAATTCAAAATAGTGAAAAGTACTACAGATATCTAAATATGTTCAGTGGAATTTACTATAAACTAAAAATATCAAAATTACTTTTTGATTAAAATAATACTCTACGGAGCTTGGAGTGTGAATGCAAAGAGTAAAAAGAGAGCCTTCTTATTCGGAATTTAAAAGAATTCAAAAGAGAAACCTTTACAAAGGAAGTAGTTATAAGACGCAGAATCTGAGTTAATGGAAGAATCACTTGACTAAAGAATAATAAGAAGCTCTCCTTGTGCCAAGGATCAAGAATTTTAACAAAACCGCAATCCAGATCCGCAAAGAAAAATAGTACTTAGTATTTTTGTTTTTAACACTCTCTTCTATTTACGAAAATACCTTTTTGAAAACTATCGTAAGCTTGTCATTATTAGACATTGAACTATTTATGCATTTATTTTATTTTATAGTAACAAGTGTAGAAGGTTTACGAAGCTTAAAGAAAGTATTAAAGACTACTTGTAGGAATAAAGAGGAAGGCTGTCCTCGCGCTGACCGTAGTTATGTTTATGAGGAGCCGAAGCAACACATCCAAAAGGTATGGCAATTCAATCTTCGTAAATAGGATAAGATACAAATCAAAGAGAGATGAGTACCATCCTCTGGGCAAGTGGAAAGAGCATATTTATCTCTATTTACCTTCCCTATTTAGTGGATTTCCATTATAACATATTAACAAAATTATGAAATCGTTTTGGAGTTGGGAGCGTCAGAGCCCGAATCATCGGATAAAGCTGCAAAGTTAAGAAAATAATAAAGGGGAGAGCTCGCTTCCAACCCAAGATGATTATGTAAACGAGGACTTCAAGCTAGATAACTTTTGAAGCATATATTTTTATCCCCAATTTAAAATGAAGAGAATATATAAATGTCTTTCTTTCAATTATGTGAACATCTTTAAATATGAATAAAAAGATAATCTCTTGAGAGATTATGAGATCTGTTGTGGTTCAACAAAATGATGCTGATGGTGCCTTTTTGCATTTGATTTGCAGTTCACTATTTTAAATAGCAAATATTAAGTTAAATACAATCGTACTCTTCTAAAGCCATTGCACAAAATTTGGTCGACTTTCGAAAGTAGAGCCAACAAGATACTTAGAACAAATAAGAATCTTTTACTAAACTATGGTTTTGTTATTTAAATAATTTCTGCAAATTGTTTTCCTGTTCTCTGATCAAATCAGCGACAAAAAATGACACCTGGTTCTCTTCCACCAAACGATTAATTATCCTGTCAACACGAACTGCTGCTTATAACAGCTCAATAGCACTTGGAAATCGGCATTTTTGCGATTTCACAAATTGCCACCATCTTATGGCTTATGGGCTCATCAAATGCATTTTAAATTAGTTTGCCAAATTTGCGAAACCTCAACTCCAGCCCTCCAGTGATTGCAATTTTCGCAAAGGCAGGCACTTCAGCCGCCATTCACGCGCATATAGAATTACAACGGCAACAAAAGGATCAGCGTCAATAAATTTGCATAATTCGCGAGCAGCACCCAACACAAAAACAAAACAACAGCGAAAAAAGCGCAGAAGCAGAAGTCAGCGACTTCATTTGCATACAACACGGCAACGGCAATGGCAACGTCAAAGGTTGGTTGAAGGGAGAGGCGCTTAGGGCTAATCAAACAACAAGGACGATGCGACAGGAAGCACACGCTCTTGTCTGATTTATGGCTGAAAATTAACATAAACGAAATCAAAACATTATAAATGTTTTCATTTTATAGAGAGAAAGAGAGAGGGTTGTGCTGCAAACATCCTTTCTATGCAAATACTATACTAGATATTTTTTGAAACAAAGTCATTTCAGATTTTGTGTGCGAATATCCTTGAAGGTCACACGCGCCGCACGCTCCTTCGCCTGACAACTAATGGGCGTTTTGTTTACGGTCGCTCAAACCCTCATTAGGGTTGAATTTGATGTTTTTGTTTTTTTTTTTTTAAGCTACAGACTCCCTTTGCTGTTAAGGTTATTTAATTATTTATAATCGGCTTACCATTATAAAGAAAAAAACTATAAATAGTTTTGAATATAGTTGAGTGGTGCCTGTCAGGCAGAGGTCCTGCGTTGAAGTTTAATTGCGGATAGAAATAGGATTTCAAGATCGCTCGAGAGAGGTTTAATTATTTAATGCTCTTTTTTATGACAACACAAAAAAAAGAGGTGTTTATGTCATAATAAAGCGGGGTTCAAAGGGCTTTTGACATTAACAGGAATTAATGCTGTGGCTTGAATTATTTTCATTTCAGCCGCCATTACATATTTTTCTCAGAAATAAATAAATACGTTCACCAGCTATTGTATTTCTTTCTAAATACCAGTGTTCAATCAAATGTAGACAAAGGCGAATCTTTAGAAAAAAACATTCATTATTATGGCGCACTATTTCGCCTTAGAATGGAACTGAGTTGGATTTGTTGAAGTTTTTTCTCTGATCATATGCATAAATTATTTTTTAAATGCATCGTGCATTATTTAATCAAAATTTTAATTTTTTTTGTGCATATACATATTATTATTAGTTTAACGCATCGTGCATTATTTAATCGAACTATTAAATTTGTTGGCCGCACTTTTTAAAAATGTTGCGTACGCCCTTGGATTTAAAGCTGTGATAATATTTGAGCTGCTTTATGTCGATTAGGCGCTCCCTATCCTGAGAGCTCTACAGCTCGCGGCTAAACTTTATTATATATTTATTATAATGGAGTATCATCCGACCTGCTCAGCAATGGCGCCTCTTCCTTAGCCTTCCTTCGCTCTGACTCTATCATATTTACAAACAATTCTTGTACTTTGCTGAATAGTTTTAAATAGTTTTCAAGTTTTCATAGATTCCATTGTCGCTGTGTAAGTAATGCTAATGAATCGGCCGCACCAGCATAAGTATATAACTTCGCAGTCATGTCAAACTCGAGTGTGACTTTTTTGGCTTCTGCACATCAATACCATTATTATCAGCAGCGGCCTCTGACGGTTTAAAAATCACAGCTGCACTGTCAGAAAACGATTAACTATTTAATTTATAATACGTGAAAAAAGTTGTGAACATAAAATGTCAAATGTTGCGTCAACAACGGCGGCTTGCGGGCTGGCCGAAAACCCATCAAAAACCACTTGAGAGTGGCCACTTCAAAGGACACCACCACAATGAGAGGCCCGAGCGAGCTACGCCTCAGGACAAATGAGGCGCGCTTAATGCGACATTGAATGGACAGAGTGTCCTGCACGCATGCGCCGCAAAAACCTGAAAAGTGGATAAATGGAAAAACTGGTACTGACATGCGTGCCACACAAAACGCACACCACTGAGCGGCTTCGGGGTGGGTCAGCGTGAAAATTGCGCAAAAAATAAAACAAAAAACAAAAGGGACTCTCAAAAGGTGGAGCGGATCAAAGGTAGAGCATACAAATACATATCTGATGAGGTTGCAATTGAAAGATATTTTAGCTACAAAGGTTAAACAACTTTTTGTTATTGTCCACAATTCGCAGAAGTTCACAATTTTTGTGAAATTTATAGAAGTTTGTTCCTCTTAATGTTTAAAAAAATGAACTAAAATGAACTTCGATTGATGGTTCAAGTTTTCTTAAAGCGGGAGTTTGTCCTCAAAAGTTGGATCCGATCAAAGGTAGAGCATCCAAATACAAAGGTTAAACCACTTTTTGTTATTGTCCACAATTCGCAGAAGTTCACAATTTTTGTGAAATTTATAGAAGTTTGTTCCTCTTAATGTTTAAAAAAATGAACTAAAATGAACTTCGATTGATGGTTCAAGTTTTCTTAAAGCGGAAGCTTGTCATCAAAAGATAGATCCGATCAAAGGTAGAGCATCCAAATACATATCTGATGAGGTTGCAATTGAAAGATATTTCAGCTACAAAGGTTAAACAACTTTTTGTTATTGTCCACAATTCGCAGAAGTTCACAATTTTTGTGAAATTTATAGAAGTTTGTTCCTCTTAATGTTTAAAAAAATGAACTAAAATGAACTTCGATTGATGGTTCAAGTTTTCTTAAAGCGGGAGTTTGTCCTCAAAAGTTGGATCCGATCAAATGTAGAGCATCCAAATACAAAGGTTAAACCACTTTTTGTTATTGTCCACAATTCGCAGAAGTTCACAATTTTTGTGAAATTTATAGAAGTTTGTTGCTCTTAATGTTTAAAAAAAATGCACTAACTTCGCTTGATGGTTTCAGTTTTCTTAAAGCGGAAGCTTTCGTTTTATTTTTTTTTTTTATTAAAAGAATTAATACTGATGCAGACAAACTTCTTATTAAGTTCAGATGTTTATGTAGGTTATTAAATCAAAAAAAATACCATGTATTCAGCCATCACCATGGGTTCAGCCATCACCAAAATCCAAGCATGGCTTTATCGATTCGAATAAATATACTTTATGGTCTCAGAGATGCTTCTCTGTTACATGCTTTACACAAACCTAATGCATATACCCTTTTTTCGAATGCAGTGTATAAGAAAGCACTACTCATCACACAAACTATTTGTCCAAAGGAGAGCCAACCACTCTATCAAAGACATTCTAATCACCAATTGCGGATTTAAGTTTAAATTTATATAAATAAAATATTTGTACAAATGTAGATGTAAAGATGTCTGCCTTTTAAGATATTTTTACTCTATGTTCAGTACAGATAGACTATGTATTCATTAAAAGAATCGTTTTTAAGCTAGTGTCTTAAAATATGATCAACATTTGGAATTACACCATTCAATCTATTTTAAATTCCATTATTGAATACAACAGTCTAGTAATACAAGTATTGCTGTATTCCATAATTAACTATTTGAAATGGGTTGGATGGTTCAGGAGCTGTAATTGTAAATTATAGAGCAATGAGAAAGACAAGACAAAACGGATTTTTACAGTCATTTTAGGCATCTATTTCACAATTAATCGATCTAAACAATTGCGGCTTTAGTTTATAGATCTATATTTCAAATAGCAACAGAATAATCCATTACTAATAACTCTTTATGTTTCTTGGAATAAATGGAGATAAATTTATATAAAAGCTGCTGCTTTAAGTTATTTGTGGCTTGCGATTTAAATAAAAACTAAGAAACAACATATTTCTTACCCCCATAAAGAAGGCTGCTGTGGGTAAAAATACTTGACCTGTACATAATTTGCATCAAGAAAACTAATTACGAAATTATTCGAATATTATGTGTATATCTTTTTGGGACCTATTTCACAATTCATCAAGCTTTACTATTTAGTTAATGGGTCTATATTTCAAATAGCTATAGAATAATCAGAAACTGAAAACTCTGCGTGTTTCTACAAATAAATGCAGACCAATTGAAATAAAAGCTGCTGTTTAAGTTATTTCTAATTTTTGCAACCTTAAGTTACATTCAACCCTGATTAATGTTTGCGGTTTAAATAAGAGCTAAGAAACAACACATTGCTTACCCTCATAAAGATAAGGTTGCTGTGGCTAAAAATACTTGTACCTGGACCTGTGCAAAATTTATAAAGTTTTATAAAGCTAAATTGAAAAGTAACCATGACTTCTTAATATTTATATACTTATACTATGATCATAATATGATCTAATTGTAGTCAAATGCAAAAACTCGAATGCTGCAATTAATTTAATATTTATGAAATAATTATAATTATTATTAATTACCCATAAAACCGCGAACCTGCCTTTTACTTGTAGCATTACAGTGAAAACTCCCTTAACGGACACCTCCTTTATCCGGGCACTCTCTTCGGCGGACACTTTTTCTAAAACATTCGATCGGTGTATAAAGTATTTAAGTATCCCCTTAAGCGGACACTCCCCTTGGACGGACAAAAATAGGCCGACCGTGAGTGTCTGGCCATAAAAGTTTTCACTGTAAAAGAAAAGATTTTCATTTCATTAACATATCCGCATCGTCACCTAGCGGCAATTTTGCGTAGCTCACAAGTTTAACACAAGCGCCACCTAACGAGCGAAGCAATTGCGACAAGTTGGCAGCTCCCCCTGCAGAAATAACTAATGTGCAACAAGTAGCGTTCGGTTGGCTGACGAAACTCATTATTTTTCGAGTGTGTTGCATTAGTTAATAAGCGTTAAAGTGTTGCATTAGTTATTAATTAAGTTCAAGTGCGAGTTGAAAACGAATTATTGCGAATTAACATTGGCGTTCATAGAGGAAAGCTTGTGTAATGTCGGCAACCAGACTTCTAAGTGCAATCGGCCAGATATCGCGACAGCAATTGCTGCAGAATAAATATGCAAAAGGTAAATGGTAAAAATAGCACAAAATATAAAGCCCCCAAAAAGAGTCGAGTGGGGGGTTGACATCATGAAGCTAAAAATGTGGCTAATAAACTTAAAATCTCGGTCAGCAATGCCGCATCATAACTGGACTTTGAACTTTGTACTGTTTGACGTCGACGTCTTTGTATATAAATATGTATGTTGTATGTACATATGTGTGTGTTTCTGTGTGTTTGCATGAGATTATGCCGGCCATTAAGCAGTTGTACATATGTACATGAGTATGTTGTTAATCGATAACTTATTAACATTTTCCCTCTCCACAGCCTATCCCGCTGCTTTGCAACTCCAACGCCGACTCATGTCCACGAATCCTGCGCCAGCGGCAGCCGCTGCCGGCGCCAACAAACATTTGCACACCCGCGTCGAGAAAGGGGTGCTGATCATAAAATTCGATTCACCCAATGTCAAGGTCAATTCCTTGGGCCAAGAGGTGAGCGCGGAATTCGAGCGCGTGATCAAGGATCTAGAAACAAATCCTGCTGTCAACTCGGCTGTGCTCATTTCCGGCAAGCCCGGCTGCTTTGTGGCCGGCGCCGACATTGGAATGCTGGAGGCCTGCCAAACCGCCGAGGAGGCCACGCTCATCTCACACGGTGCCCAATTGATGTTCGAGCGCATGGAGCGCAGTCGCAAGCCCATTGTGGCGGCCATCAATGGCGTCTGTCTGGGCGGTGGCTTGGAATTGGCGCTCGCCTGCCACTACCGCATCGCCACCAAGGACAATAAGACGAAATTGGGTCTGCCTGAAGTGATGTTGGGTCTGCTTCCCGGCGGTGGCGGCACCGTACGTCTGCCCAAGCTAACATCTGTGCCCACAGCGCTGGATCTGGAACTGACAGGCAAACAGGTGCGCGCCGATCGTGCCAAGCGTTTGGGCATTGTGGATTTGCTGGTCGATCCATTGGGTCCAGGTCTGCAGCCGGCTGAACAGAACACTATGGAATATTTGGAGCGCACGGCTGTACAAGTCGCCACAGACTTGGCCAACGGCAAACTTCGCGTAAGTTTTGTGCTTTGTAGGGGAAATAAAATAAAATAAATAAATAATAAAATGCATAAAGTATCTATGAACCTTACCTTACTTATACAAATCTTCACAACAGTCTTAGAGATCTGTTGAACAAAAGTATGTTAAAATATTTATCCTAAAAAGTTTATTTAATTAGATATTTGTATATATATATAATTATAATATTCTCACAGCTAACCATCATCTGGAGTGTTCCTTAGAAATGTTTAGCATCAATTTAGTTTTTAAAAGAATTATTATTTAATTATTTCTTTTTATCTATTTGCAGGTCAATCGCGAGAAAACTGGTTTGGTAAATAAGCTACAGACCCTTGTCATGGACACGGAGTTTGTGAAGAATAAAATCTTTGATACGGCACGTAAACAAGTGCTAAGGGCCTCCGGCGGTCTCTACCCAGCACCATTGAAGGTACGCAAAAGCAAATAAAAATAGATACAACGTATAACTTCCTCTTGCACAGATACTTGAGGTCATACGTACGGGCGTGGATAAAGGCACGGAAGCTGGCTATGAGGCAGAGCGCAAGGGTTTCGGTGAGCTGTCGGCCACACCCGAATCTAAGGGTCTGATTGCACTCTTCCGGGGCCAGACCGAGTGCAAGAAGAATCGTTTCGGCAAGCCACAGCGTCCAGTGAAAACTGTTGGTGTTCTGGGCGCAGGTCTAATGGGTGCCGGCATTGTTCAGGTCACGGTGGATAAGGGCTACGATGTGGTGCTGAAGGATGCCACCGATGCTGGTCTGGGACGCGGCATCGGTCAGGTGCAAAAGGGTCTGGAAACGGCTGTGAAACGACGACGCATTACAACATTGGAGCGCGATCTAACACTCTCCCATCTGCGCCCCACACTCGACTACAACGACTTCAAGAAGGCCGACATTGTGATTGAGGCCGTCTTCGAGGACATTAACATTAAGCATCGCGTTATCAAGGAGCTCGAAGCTGTGGTGCCCGAGCATTGTGTCATCGCTACCAACACCAGCGCTATACCGATTACAAAAATTGCCGCCGGCAGTGCACGCCCCGAAAAGGTCGTAGGCATGCATTACTTCTCGCCTGTGGATAAAATGCAGTTGCTGGAGATTATCACACATCCAGGCACATCCAAGGATACGGTGGCTCAAGCGGTGGCCGTTGGACTTAAGCAGGGCAAGGTGGTCATCACAGTGGGCGATGGTCCCGGCTTCTATACCACACGCATTCTGGCCACCATGTTGTCGGAAGCGATAAGGTGAGTGCAAATTTTTACATTCTCTCTCTAAGTATGTGTTCAGCTTCGAAAAACTATTCAAAAACTTGCGCTTTATATCAAATATTAATATGCCTATAGTATTTTACTGAAGACATTTAAAAAACCAATTATTTTATGGTATTTCCCAATTTCCATCGAATTCGAAAACTATAACAGCCTTGATACGCTCTTTGTCCGTTTTTTTCTATACAAACTAACTCCTTCGTTATATGCATATAATCGAGCTTAAATCAAATTGAACAAATACTATATGTCTTATAGCTGGCGTAGAAACAATCAGAGATAATAAGATACAAAATTTATTATTATTATTATTTGAAAACAGACTGCTGCAGGAGGGCGTGGATCCCAAGGAATTGGATCAGTATACTAAGAAGTTTGGTTTCCCTGTCGGCGCAGCTACGCTCGCCGATGAGGTAGGCATTGATGTCGGCTCTCACATAGCCGTCGATTTGTCCAAGGTAAGTGCAAAAGCTTTATATCTATAAATTATTAAATACAGCATATGCTGTACTTGCCATTCACGTTTTCTGTAGTCCTTTGGGGAGCGCTTCAGCGGTGGCAATCTGTCCGTAATGCAGGATCTGGTATTGGCCGGCTTTCTGGGTCGCAAATCGGGCAAAGGCATATTCCTCTACGATGGGCAATCCAAGGGCAGTCGTCCGGTTAACAACGATGCGCTCGAAATTGTTAAACAGAAGTATGCCTTGGTCTCCAAGGGAGCCAGCACTGCCGAGGATCAAACATTGCGCATGGTCTCGCGTTTTGTCAACGAGGCTGTGCTCTGTTTGGAGGAGAAAATACTTGACAGTCCGCTTGAGGGGGATGTGGGCGCGGTTTTCGGTCTTGGTTTTCCACCATTCACGGGCGGTCCCTTCCGTTGGGTGGATCAGTATGGTGCTGGTAAGTTGGTCGGCAAAATGCAGTCCTATGCTGAGCTCTATGGTGCACCCTTCAAGCCAGCACAGACACTGCTGGACATGGCCAAAGATCCGGCCAAAAAATTCTATCCCAAGACTACCGCCTCTAAATTGTAAACAGTCCAAACGAACTCAGGCAATCAATCAATAGGCAACCAATTAATTCTTTTATATAGTTTAGTGAAGACGAATGTGAAAAGGTTTAAGCAATCGTCGCTCGCATTTCTCTCTCCGGCAGCATTAAGTGGCCAGAATTGTCTGTTAACAATGCTTAAATAAATTGTACTATAGAATTTTTAAACATTTTACAATGGTGTTGTTGTTGTTTATTTGACACAGCTGTATGCGTTTTTATAACCATTCTCATTCTGATTCTTTTTCTTTTCACTTAACACTCACTTTTAAGAACTTAAGAACTGCAAAAACTTTGTACATCAAATTATAAACTAAACTTACATACATATACAAACATTGATGCGATACATATACACATATATGTAACAAGAGAGCACGGTTGCCACTATAAAAGATATATATATATATATATATAGGTGGTTGTTCAGATTTACATTTTGGAATTTTCAGTTTTAAATGCAAAAAACAGTTGAGCGTTGCAGACAATTTTCAAAAGAATAAGTAAACCTAAGCGGTGACCAGACAGGCAAATTATTTGCCCGCAAACTTTTGCAATTCTACAAATACGTCATGAAGCTTCGATTACAAAGCTGTTTAATGTTATAGAAAAGTATTATTGCAGCCAAAGCTAAAAACAATTGTATCTTTACTTGAGCCGCGATCAATCAGACATATTATTTGCACACAAACTCCTGCAACTTTACAAATACGATTTTAAAAAAATCAATTCCCTCAAGCCTAAGTTGTTGTACAAAAGTAATTTTGAAAACATATTTTTGGAAATATTTATCTAAATATAAGTTGTGGTCAGACAGACAAATTATTTGCACACAAACTTTGATAGTTTCGCAAGTGCGAGATGGATTTCAAAAATTGGTTTAGTTCTGTATATTGGTAGTTAGTTAACGATACAAAAAATTGTGGTTTTAACGCAAATAATTAAGGTGTGGTCCCACAGACAGATGATTTGTCTCACAGGCTCCTACAGTTTTACAGGAAAATTTAAATTTAAAAAGAAAGTAGTGTGTAAAACAGTTACTCAAGTTGGTTGAAAGTCGTTTTTGTGCAAATAATTTGGCTATCTGACCCATAGCCTATTTAGAAATATTCATTATTTATATTATGCTGCATTTTTTTGGTGGGAATTTGTTGGGAATTAGTAAATTAGTGGCAACCGTGTTAACAATTAGCACTGAATCATTTCCAAGGATAATCATTTGTTTAGCCTAAATTTGTAAACCTAAGTTGAGCGCTCAACTCATAGGGCCAGCAGCGAAATTAATGAAATGACAAAAAGAGGGAAACGATCAAATATAGTGAGCGTGGCAAACTAGAGCATCACAACCGAGCTTTAAGTATGGGGTTATACAAATGGGACGTATGGCTCATTGAAATATGATAATGGTCCTACGACACTAGACTAAAATAAAAACGATGGAAACGAGAAGTACGAGAAAATACAAAATTGAAGCGAACTGAAGACCTTCAAGTCTAGTTTTTAGTCTAGTGCCGTAAGGTCATAGGTAATATTCCCTTAATTTATGACTTGTTGGCGGCTCACTTGCGCCACTCTCTGCCCAGACTGCGACGTTGTTGCCGAATGCTGGTGCCGCCACCACTACCACCACCACCGGCACTGCTGCTGCCACCGCTGCCATTTAAGGTGCCATTGTAACGCTCCTGCGGCGCCGGATAGCGCTCAACCACATCATCGATCAGCTCCAGTATTCCAATTTTAAATTTTCTTCGCTGCTGCGGAGTTAATGCGGCAATGTCCGGCAAAATGCTACGAAAGAACTCCATGTCCGTGTGTTCGCTGCCTGTGAGGCCGCCAGCATAATAGCCACTGGAGGTGGTTGTGGTGGCTTCGCATTCTGTCTTGATGCGCTTCACACCACTCTGCTCGAAGTGGTGATGATGATGGTGCATCGGCGATTCATAAATCAAATCCTGTCCGGACTCCGCCAGCTGTACATCGGGTATGAAATTTTGCATCGTGTTCGCGCTGGCTGTGTCGCTGAGCGCAGGAGAAGTAGCACCACCGCCGGCGGCTGCAGTGGCGGCGGCGGCAGCAGCAGCAGCTGCCACATTGGCGCAGGGCGTGGAGGCAATTATATTGCAACCCACACGTTGCAAGCCCAGACTAGCGGCTATGGCAGGATCGAATGCGTCGATGGTCTCCTCATCGTCGTTCTCCGATAGCGATTGCTTCAGTTCCAGCTTGGTGTCGATACCATTGTGGTTATTGTTGTTGTTGTAGTAAAAATTTTGTTCTTGCTGCTGTTGTTGTTGTTGCTGCGAAAACTGATAGAGTGTGGCCAGATTGTTGTTGCCCTCCAGCGAGTTGCGCGTGGACTTTAGGAAGGGCAGTAGAAATGCCATATGTTCGGTCAGATAATAGGGTTTATGTTGCGGTTCCGAGCCGCTCTGCTGCTTAATATAGCGGGAGAGGCAGGCGCGTAGGTTCCGCCAACGTTCCTTGCAATGTATAACTGCAATGTTCAGAGATAGACAGAATTAGAGTGGTTTTTCTTATATACTCGTAGAAGTTGTGAAACCTAACACTTACCGCTCTCACGCGTTTCCTTTGATATGAGCACCCAAGCTTTCTCCTGATTGTCTCTGAAATGAAGCAAGAGAATTGTTAATATTAATACATTTCCAATAAAATTATTATTCTTCCCCCCTTCTATGTCAGGAACTTCTTAGCAAGTTACTAAGCAGAGTATTTGCTTGTAAACAAAGCTTTTCATATATACATATATATTAAGGTCTTAACCCTTATATTAATATTTCAAATCGTAGAATCTTTCAGTACTTAGTATTTCCTAGAGATCATTGGAAGTTAAGTTGGGCTTATGGTTCAGCTAGTTTCAATAAAATAATAAACTAAAACATATTTGCTCGATTTCCAAAAGTTTTGTGAAATCAAAGGCGATATGTTCTAATTCAGTTTATTAGAATGATTATTACAATAAAATTAGTCAATTTCTTTGTCAAAAAAAAGGAACTCATAAAAAAAACATTAAAAAATAACATCAAATGCTTACCAATAAGCAATACATTGGACTATTAAAAAATGAACGAAATTCGCAATTATAAACCCACAAAGTTTTCTTGGCAGTTCGAAAACTTATTCTTTTAAGTTGCTTGGAACACCACATCTGAATTCTTCACGTATTGCGTTAGTTTTTTTAAAGCAAATATTGGAATCGTTTTTTTTTTGGAATTTAACTAACATTTTCCAATTATTATTCCCCATAATTGTAACGATTACGTAAACGGTAAGAACTGAAAACGCGACGGTTCATTTAAAGCAATGAAAATAATAATGGATATTTTTAAGAAAGTTTTGTTTTCATTTGATGTGGATATTTGGATTTTGCGTAACGCAAAGCACAAAAGACGTGCCCTAAAAGTATGCTGTGTTAAATATCAATTTGCAATCGGATTAGTGGCTGAATTTTGAGAATAAAGTTTCTGAACATGTTTTGTAGACAAACCTTATAATTATTATTCATTTTGTCACTATTGATTGTGTTGAATAAAGACGGGTCAGAAATAAAATGACAGAAATAGAATGACTTATAAAATTATTGCAAAAGCTGATGTCTTTTATTAATACCCGATTCGGCTAAAACCGAGAAGTACGGTCAAAAAATTAGGGAAAGGAATGCAACAATTGCGATGGCTAACTAACGGATGAGCTGGGTAGCACCGACATGGCATTACGAAGCACAGATTCCGTGGAAGAGCAGCCTGGAACGCACACTAGCTGAGCCAGTGACAGATTGCTGAGCCACTGCAGAATGATTACAACAGGACTGCTTCCTGCTAGGCCTTTGAGAAGATTAAAACGAATCCGATCCGACCCCCTCATTGTGCTTATAAATCCTCCTGCGGAAGTGCAATATAATAAAAATTATAAAATGACTGGAATTACATATCAATTAATTATTGGGGGGTCAAGATTTCTTCAAACATGCAAATTGATAGAATTTTAAAAAGAATATCATATTTATAATGTTATTTCAATCAAACCTAATAAAATTCTATACAAAAACTGCTTTGTGATTTTATTTTCGAAGCCAACTTGTAAATAACAATGTGGTGTAACCAGCTTTGAAATCTACATACTAGTAATAATTGCTCAAATCTCTCGGCCCTCTTTATTTTATCTATATTAAAAATATTATTATTGAATAGAAGCAAAACAACCATTTGATACATCTTGTTGACAATTTTTTAAGTTTTCTTTTTTATAAGTTCGTATTGCCGTATTGTTCGTATTGGAGATTCTTTAAAGTTTTATTTTCTTGCGTAAAGTAAATTGGCTTACATTCATAAAATTCTATTTGCAACTTACCTGTTGCGGTACTCGGGAACTTTTTTGTCGTATAGACATTTGTGCGTGCGCACCAGATTCACGAAACGTATGTTGAAATCCTCATCGGCTTGCATGACACGACTCGCAATTGTTGTTGTTCCTGTTACTGCTGCTGCTGCTGCTATTTGTGTGGTGGCCATTGTTGTTGTTGCTGATGCTGCTGGAGTTGTGCTGTTGCTGTTATGTAAAGCGACTGTTACTGTTGACTCGCTTTGAAGTTGTTGTTCCTGCTGCTGCTGCAGCTGCTGTTGTTGTTGGTGGTTTCTGTTGTTGCTGTTGTTATTTTTGTTGCTTTCGTTGGTTGCAGTTGTGTTGCTGCGCGTTGAGGTGGTCATATTCGTTGTTGCTATTGCAATTGTTGCTGTTGTTGTTTCTGTAGCCGTTAGCTGTTAATTATGAAATTTTTAAACTGCAGTTGTTGATAATAACGGCAACCGAAGCACTGCTTGTCACTGTTGCTATTGTTGTTGCTTTTGCTGCTGTCAGAACTTTAAAAACTGTATTGCTATTGCCTACAATAACAAATGAAACGTTTGTTTGACTGTTTGCTTCTCTCTGCGTACATGAGTGGGTGTGTGTGTGTTCGTGTTGCTGTCTCAGCAAGCGCAGAGCAAACGAACGAACGAACGGGCAACAGAAAGACAGCAGCAGCAGCAGAAACAGCAAAAACAACGGCCGACAAAGCTTTTGCTGTTGTTATTTTCATAAGCATGTACATATGTATGTATGTGTATATGTATGTATGTACGTATATTCTGCGAAACTTAATAAAACATTGTGGCTGGCTGACAGTCGTTGTTGTTATTGTTATTGCTGCTGCTATTATTTTCAGTACAGTTTTGCGGGCGTAAAAAAAATTCAACAACAATGTTTACTTTTCATATTGTTATAGCAACAACAACAACAACCGTATTGGCTGAAAATTATGGTCTGGCTATTTTTGTTGTTCTTATTGTTGTTGCTCAAGTTTGTTCCGCGTTGCTATTATTCGTTGTCGTTGTTGTTGCCAAAGTTTAAAAGCTTTACTTTTGTTTGTATGTATGTATGTACATACATACATATACGAGTATTTACGAGCAGCTGATAACAGCAATCAGCTAACTTATTACACGACAACGCTGTTGTAATGACAACAACACAACAGCAATAACAATAACGACACTACAACAATTTGTTATGGTTCGCCAAAACTAATCGCCTGAGCTAAAAATACTTCTAATTACCGTTGTTTTTTTCAACCTACACCTCCCACTTTAAAGCGAATCACTTCTCGTTACTCGTTTCGATTCATACATGATTCATGAATCGTTTAATGATTGCTTTTGTCTCTTCCATTTAACATGCGGACTACCTGTTTTATTTTCTATAATTCTAATCAACAACCGTTGCTTGCGTTCTCTCTCTCCCGCTCTCCCTCCCACTAAAGTATGTTTCTTCTCGCTTCGCACTGCTTTGCGCTGCTTTGCGCTTGCTCAAATCTTTAACAGTTTTCCCGCCACTTTCGGCACCTTGCGCTGTGCCCACCAATTTGCACAAAAACAACGTGCGCACAGTGGGCTCGACTGTACTATATAGCTAGTGAAAAATCGTGTATTGAAATCAAAATATACAGCTTCTAAAGCTATGTATTTAAATATTGCAGGAGATATATTTGCTGAATTTTTGAAATAATTTAAATTAAGCAGTATACCGTATTTTAGAATTGCAAGATTTTCGTGATAGCCAATTTGTAATTCTAATTGTCCAGATTGCTAGGCTTAAAAACATTTATAGGAAAATTTAAACTCTTATGAACAGTTTCCAAGCATATTTCGCGCCGTGAGAATATGTGCGCAATTAGTTTAACGATTCTTTAAAAATAATTCCTGTGTAAGAGAACTCAAAAAAGTTCAATTTTCAAAAACTTAAACTCTTACATTAAAGTTAAGATAAGTACATACTAAATATGCTGTGTGCCCCAGGATACTTTAATTACTATAGATTTTAAACTAAATTCATTATGTTGTTAAGCTGTACCACTTGAACGAAATTTTTAGGGAATACTATTTCCTAAGATTTTAAGTAAGTTTGTCTTCAGTTTTGTTTTGAAATAGTGTGCATACTTTTTGTAGTGATTCATAAGCTAGAGTTCATTGTTATGATATTTTTTATTGCTTTTTCAAAAATGTGTTTAGCCCACTGTGCTGTGTGTCTACTGCTTGTGTTGTTTTTGTCCTCGTCATTATTATCAACTTCATTATCATGTTGTGAGTCTACGCTGCGCGCGTGTTTCAGTTCTTGCTTGTTGCCTGTTGTTGTTGTTGGTGTTATTGTTGTTTTTTCGTTGCCGTCTGCCTGCTGCCTGCGCCCCGCTTTGCTGTTGTGCTGCTGGCCTGGCCAGCTAGCTGTCTGACTGTCTGTTGTATTTCGTTTGCCGCTTGCACCCTCCCCCTCGCACCACTTCGGCTATTGTTGCTTTTGCTGCTGCTGCTGCTGCTGTTTCAACATTCTGTTTTATTCGTCATTTGTTGTTTTCGTTAGTTTTGTTTGTTCGTCGCCGTCATCGTCGGTCCCGGCAGCTGTTGTTGTTGTTACTGCTGCTCTGCTGCTGCCGTAGCAGCTTTAACAGTTGCTTATTCCCTCACGTTTCACCGCCGAGACAATAACAGCAGCGGCAGCAGCAGCAACAACAACGAAATCGTAGCTGACGCAGCGTTGACGTCGTTGACAACGATTGTTGTTATTGTTGCCAGTTCGCCTTACAATATTGTTGTTGTTGTATTGTTTTGTGAGATAGCGAGAGACAGAGAGAGGCAGGGAGGGAGCGGCAGCATTAGCCAGAGCGACAGAGAGAGAGAGAGCAAACAACAAAAACTAGCTAAAAGATATTTATTGTATTACGTCTATTAACATAAAATGTATTTACACACACACACACATACACATGGCAAAAACAACAATAACAAAAGCAACAAAAGGCGTCAGCACAAAAAGTACAGCAACGTGCAAAAACAAGCACACATACAAAAAAACAAAAAAAACCAACAACAACAAAATATTTCTAAAGCTAACAAAACACACAAAACTTGCAGAAAGCCAACGTGCCCCACCACTCCCCCTGTCACCTATACACCCCCTCAACACCCTCCACCCCCCTTACGACCAACAGGCGAGTGAGCGAACAAACCAAAGCCCCAGCAAAACAATAACAACAACAACAGCAATAATCAGCAGCAGCACAGCAAAGAAAAGGCAATAACTTTGTTAGATAGAACAACAGCAGCAGCAGCAGCAACAACAACAACAAAAGCAACAACAACAGCAAATACACTCACAGATACATAGCTACATACAATATGGAATATAGAATCTTTCTTGCCCGTGTATTGTTGTTGTTGCTTATCTGAGTTGTTGTTTTTGTGGTTTAAAAACAATATTTAAAAAATTGTTTTTTTTTTCAAACATGTGGACTTTTGAATTCCTTAATATTAAACATTACCTTTCGTTCTTCTGCTTTCACAAGTCGTTTCACGTTTTTTCAAAAATAATATTTGAAAACATAAGCCGTTCTAGCGTCTTAAGCAGCGCGTACAACAACAATAAAACAAAAAAACGGCGCCAAAAATTAAACGCTGCTTGCTGGCTGCATCAACCGACCGACAACCAACCGACCGACCGACCCACCGCCTGACGTAACGTACCAAAATTTCAATTTCGTTTGCGGCGTTGTCGGATCTCTCTCTCGATGCGAATGTTTCACGTCTCAAGCGACGAATGCGACTAAACACACAGATACAAACGACACGCCGCGGCTCTGCCAAAAAGTATCTATAAACCACACACAGCCAGCCATAGCCAGTAGAACACACAGAGCGGCAGCAAACAGAGAACAAAACACATTCCTCTCCTACACACACACACACACGCATGGCGGCAATGAGCGAATCAACAATACCAACGAGCAACTTTTTATACCCTGCCACCAAAGAGGGGGAAGAAAGTACATTCGATTTGTGCCAGTGCATGTAGCAAGCTATGTATTTCTTTTATTTCAGGAGTACGGAAATAGGTCAACGTGGTTTTCTTTAATAAAGAATCTTAAGATTGTGTATTATTAAAGCTTTCTAGTTCTGACAGTTCTTGTTTTTTTTTCATAATTTATTCTTTAAAAAATTTTTAAAAGAATTTTTATACGTATTTTATTTAAATTTATAATTAGAAAGCTTCTCTGGAAATATATAGCAATAAAGATACTAGTTTTTAAAAGTAGTTCATTTATATAGAGGGTATTTCAGTGTCGGCCTGCTCGACTATAAAATTCTCTCGTGTTATTGTTGCTGCTGCCGAGCAACAAATAATACAAACAATACACACACACACACTAAGCTACGCAGCAGGCACATTTCTCTCTCTCACTCTCTCTCAGAAACAACTACGGCAACTGCGCGGCATAAAAAGAAAAGAGACAGATACGCCAACCAACAAAAATTGTCGCACAGTGGTGCGAATTACAGACAAAAACATGCCGTTCTCGCATCTGAAAGTTTGTCATGCTGACCATTACAGATTCAAAAGGGTACTGCCTTTTTAAAACTGTATCTAACTGCGTGGGTAGGACACAAAAAGTTCTGTAGATAAAGATCTATTGATACTGTCCATGTTTTTTCGAAATTCATATGTCTAAAAAATTTGCTTCTCTAAGGCCGTCCTGCCTTATTTTAAGAAGAGCATTGACACTTTTCGGTTATGTTTTGTAATACACAGTCAAAGAGCCCTACTTAGACTGCTATTTAGGAGCCAACTTCCTCCGGAACAATTCAAGACTTTCCACTAAATTCGTTCAGACTTCAGGGTGGATCTAAAATATGCTTGGAAATGCGGAAATATCATGGAGAAATGGGAAGTGGAAGTGAGTCCGGGATCTATTCCTGACTGCCGCATATATATATATACATAGTATATATAGTAAAACTATTTGTTCATACATAAGTACATATTAAGAGTTTGTCGTCCATCCTAGTATTCAAATTGAATACGTAATGCTAAACAAACCTAGAGTTTTTGTTCGACTTTACATATATTATAACGCATATCCTCCAACTTACATGTTTATCCTAATCTTCGATTACCACCCTACTCTAGCAGAGTTCTGCTTAGCATCCGTGTTAGCTATTCAACCGACAAATCTAGGTATTGTAGTTCCCCACTCTTGTGAGGGCTGCCATTTCTTAGACAGGCTTTAAATGTAAACTCAACTTGTTGATGTTTCATGGTTGTTTTTTATTTCTTATTTGTTTATTTGTTGATTAATTATTTTTTATAAAAAAAATATCAATATAATAGAGAATAAGGTTAACAATTAAAAAAAAAAGATGATTATTCCCCCAAATGCTACCTGGAAACTTCGTTTAAGCTTCAAACTTCTCAATCATTGAGAATATAGAGATTCGATTTGAATTACTTTGTAAACATTTTTGAAATCGCTCTGTCGCCTTAATCTTACATCCGAATAATCAAAAGTTGTATGCTGTGTGAAAGATAATCTAATTATCAATAACATATGCAAGTTATCGGTGGAAACGCAATCTAAAGCTTTTTTATGCCATCAAGCCCAACTTCTCTCTCCCACTGCGCATTTCTCTCTTTGGCAACGTGTTAATGATTTGTTTACAACTTTGTTGCCGTGCAGTTTACCGAAAGCTTTGCCCGGCACCCTTGCCCCCCATTCCCCGAAAAGCTCCGATGCGTGCGCGCAAAAATCCGATAAAAAGGAGGCTCGTTTCGGTTGTGGCCTACATAAAAAAGCGCGAGCGAAGGCACGACACGACCCCTCATAACACGAACACGAAGCAATGTTGGTCAACAGGAGGTGTTGCTGCTGCGGCGGCAGTGCTGCGCGCTCTTGAGTGTCGGAAAAAGCTAAAGACCAGATTTTTCATTATTATCATTCCTAAAGAGGAACTAAGCTCCAATTCTGCGTTTCATATGTGTAAGAAGGGCGGTCTCTTGCAATAGTTTTCAACTTTTCTTCTGCACATTTCTATTTACAATCCTATTTCACGAACGAGTAACAATGTATTTACAAGTATGTATATATTACGACATAAAATTTGATAAATAATATTGTCACAATCCGAGAAGGTCATATACTATTAATCGATTTAATCGATTTGTTATAAAAGGTCTAGAATCAAAAGTGTGACTACGAGAATCTATGTATTCAGGGCTTACCTCACATTCGACGTGGAATGTACGCTAAAAATCTATAGGAATACTTTTTATTTATGAAAGGAATAGGGGGATGGGAAATTTAATTAATTTATCTGTTGGAAACCATAATCAAGTCATTTATGTGATTTGCAAAACACCCAAAAATTAAAAGTGATTAATAATTTGTTTTCAACGAGACAATTAGTAAATAAGTTAGTCGATTGATTTTTAAAAATGAACTTTATTTTTCGAACACACATTTTATTTGAAAATCTATAGTTGTTGAAAAAAAAAGCTAAATTATTGGCACTGTTTTGCTAGTGTTGTGGTTTCAGTTGCAATCCTTTGGAGAGAGGTTGGGAAAAAGGAAGAGAGAAACAGAGAGCGCGCGTAGCCGAGGCCTTAACGCTGACAAACTTCAGTGTCGCACACTCAGTTGTCAATGGACGGTCGGCGGGAGCCTTTCGTACTGCGGACGCCCAAAAGTATGCCACAAGGCTTCGCAGTATCGCGTATTGAATTGCGTGCGTGTGTGTGTGAGTGTGTGTGTTAGAGTGCCTCGAAATATTTGCTGTAAATTATTAACGAAGTTAACTGGAAAATTTAAAATGCGTGCTTTGTTCGCCCCACGAATCGGAGACACAGCTGTCACTCAAAATAAATGAAAATGGAAAGGAAGCACTCGGAAAGAGGTGACAAAGAAAGAAGCAAAAGAAGATATTAATAATACTATAATGTGGGACAAATTTTAATGCGTGGCTCAATTCTCGCCCGCTGTGCCATTTCACATGCACCTTAAGCCAGAAATGCATTTCAAACCGCAGTTCGGGTCCCCCTCTCTCTCTGAGAGGTGCCAGGAACTCTCTCACTCTCTCTCTCTCTCTCTCTCTTACACACACACACACTTTAACGGTTCGCACTCAATGACTCTGCTACTACGCAGCTATTTTTTTTTAGAATATGTTTTCTAGTATAAATGCTTGCATGTAGAGTTTCGGGTTTGCTAGAAAATGGAAATGGCCGTGCCAGTGGCAGGTGTGGATGTCGTTGGCATTGCCTTACCGTTAATGCGGCTACCTGTAGATATTGTACAATGTCCAATTGTAAGTGTATGTGGGTGGGGGTATGTGGATATATGGTTGGTTGGTCGTGTATGCGTGTGAGGGTGTGGGAGTCAGTTGCCAGGCAAGTCCTTGAAAGAACCGAACGCTTCGTTCGTTCGAGCATTGCTGCGTGCGTTTCCGACTCTAATTAATTTGTAATTCAAGGTCCACTGAGCCGCCACTGAAGGTTACTGTTGATGAGCTTATTGTGTTTAATATCTGAATTGAACATTTCCCAGTAATGTGCCTGAGGCGGCCGCTCGGTCACTCAAATCCATAAGTTGGACAACGGCCTCAAATTAGCCTAAGAATCGACGGTGCGTGAGCAAAGCCGTGTCTCTTTGTGTGCAGCAATTCTTAAATATGGGCGGTACTTTTAAAGATAAACTCATTTAATCTACACAAAAAGTTTGATTTGACGACGAAAACGGAAGACGGAAATAAGGAAAAGGTCAAGCTTATTAACGGCCTGTCACGGCACACTTAAGGAACCAGCTTTTAACTTTTATTTGTGTTAGAAAGCAAAGCTGTGCTGTTTAATTAGAAATGTTGATCATCCTGTTCCAACTATACTTTGAACTTTATCTTTTAATTACTGTGTAGAAACGCTCTCTCCTTTGTTAAGAAAATTCCAAACTGCACATAGAAAAACACCTTTGTACAGAGACGAAATACTGGCTGCTGTAGCCAACAAAACTTTATCAAAAGTGCTTAATTTAAGGAATCTATTTGCCAATAAACTTTATAAAAATAAGCAATTATGACCTTCTATTAAGTTACTTAATTTTTGTTAACGAATTTTAGGTATTTCTGTAGAAAATGTTCCCTGTGCATTAGGAAAACTAAGAAAACTGAAAATTAGATCATTAACATTGCAACAATAAAGAGCTCAACATCTATGAAAATTTGAAATGTTCGTCAAAGGAAGCAAATCGTAGGATACTTATTTTTGTGTTTCAATTACGTAAAATTTCAAACGTAATTTTATTTATTTTTTAATCAGTCCTGGGTTGGGCAACTATTACATTTAATGATAACTTTGAGCTTACCTTGTACGATTCCTGCAGTAAAGAACTATCAATAGTATTCAATTTCATTTCCATATAGTTTCTAATTATTGATGGCGTTGACTCCAAAACAAGATAATTGGGGTTTGATATCGTTATCGAAAACTTACTCCTACATATGCATATCTCCAATTTTAATCTTTTTACATATTTAATAACTTTCATATTAATATCTATAAAATATGTGTGGGAATTAACCTAACCTGTCCTATAACGGTAAAGTCGAATTATTAAATAATATTATTTCAGTGAAAGTATATGTAATTAAACAGTTGTTCATCACAGCAATTTAACACTTTATTGCAATTACTTATTCTGTTTATTACATTTTTAAAGCTTATCAATGTCCGCCATTTTCTCTTCGCTGCGTCTTCAAAATAAATTTTTAAAAAGTGCCTACAAAGCTGTTTTAAATTACAAAACCGAATAGTCATGCCTAAAAGTATGCTGCTCTAAATTTCAAAAAAGTTATGTAAATATAACATCCAGGCAAAATGAATCCAATTTTCATACATTTTGTCTTATAAGCAAACATGGTTACTTTTTATGGAAGGTAGTCAAACTTTTAAATGCAACTTTTACAGCAAATAAATAATTAGGCATGTCGACAAACGGCTTTCTTTGCGCGCTAGTTGAGCTTCAAATCCATCTTATATTTGTGTTGAGTTTAATTAGGAGGCGAGCAACCAAGAATTTAGAACCACAAAAATGCGTACTTAAGTGCCTAAGCGCCACGAGCCCGATTGCCAAAGTATATTAATCCAAAACCCTCCCAAATACCCAACCACACAGTTTCTAAGAAAACCACATTACGCATACGCCACATTGCACAGTCTGGCAACTTTGGGGCGCAATAACAAAAACAAACAAACAAAGAATAGAAGAAGGCAAAAAAAGCTTTTCATTGCTGGCCATTAGCGTTCGTATATTCCTTTGCGTGCGCTCTCTCTCTCTCTCTCTCTCTCGCTCGTTCTCCCTCTCCATCCATTTGGCTCGTTGCCTCCTTGCTATAGCAGCAGCAGCAACAAAAACAACAGCAATAATGAGAGCCCACATTTTTTGTGACGCCGACTGCGGCAGCGACGGCGACGGCGACAGACAGCAGACACAAACATTTTCGCTTGAGTAGAAAAATTCAATGATTTTTTGTGCTTAGTGTGAAACGAACCAACAACTTAAACGAAACGAACGCGCGCGTAAAATACCAACAAGCAATCAACACACAAATATAAATATCTACAGCACACACGAACACGTACACACACACACACACACGTACATACTTGCACATACCTGGCCACAGCAGCAACAACAACAATAGAAACACATAAAACACAAAGATATTATAAACAAAAATAATTTCAAACAAATTTTTAAAAGTCAGAAACGTAACAATAAATAAGCGAGCTGAGAAATTAGAAATGAGTATTACAAACGCGATTGCCTAAAGAAACGACCAAATAGAATCTACAAGTAGCTGAAACTAAAAACAAACAAAACACAAGATATATCTCACAAAGCCGCAGCAAAAACTATACGAAAATTATTCGAAGGCAACAACAACAAATGCATTGAAGGCATTTCCAACCTGTGTCGAGTTGCAGAATGTGCTTTATGGGCTGAGAGCAAGAGAAGAACGTGAGTCAACAGTGGGTCTACTTAAATAAAAACATAATTGATCTGAAGAGTGAATCATCGCTCATCCCCATATTTTAATATATATTCATGTAGAATACATTTTCAGCAATTACTGAATATATTATTTTATCTATAGATATTAGTATTACAAATGAAAAAGTCGATTTATTCTATTGATGTTCCACTAATTTTCAAAAAGAAGAAGACTTCAAAATTAAAAAACAAAAACGCCAATATTTTTCGGAAATTTATTATTTTGGCGATCCCAGTTTTGACTTAAACCAAACATTTTTGAACGCTAGAACTTGCATACGCAACCACACATTTTTAAAATTCTTATGTTTTTACCTTACCTAATTGGCTAAAAAAAATATTTTCAATACTTTTAGATATGATTATGTTTCTAAATCTGTTTATGAGAAATGTGTTTAAGAATTCTGAAAGCTTTTGATGAAGCACAATTCAACGTTATTGTATTTTATTATATATTTATTTCTTTTAATTATTGGATTGGGAAAAAAGAAATAAATTTTGTTCACTCTTTTTCAAATTTTATTTAATAAGGATGACGTTGTTCGATTTACATCCCGCATTGTTTAATTACTTGTTGCCATTTCAAAGAGTGCTTCATAATTCCTCTCTCGTAGAACCCCTGTTTCTACAGTCCTTCACTGAGTACACTTTTGGTTCATCCATAAAACGTTGTAATCACAAAATAGGAGATAATCACTTGCTTGTACCCTTTCTAATGGCCAATTCTGATCACTTCGGTAGCTTATTGTTGACAGTAGAGGTCAGAATTTGATGGTAGATGGGACTAGAAGGGTCCCACCGGTTGCACATAACTTCCTGGCTTAAAAACCATTAAATTGGCTCCACCGAACTTTTCCCTAAACAAGGAAGGTGTTATTCTCAAGCGAAATGGTTTTTACAACGTTTTTCAACATCGACCAAACAAGCTAAATATAGTACCATTTACACAGTTCTTTCTTCAATTGAAAGGAACGTTTTTTTACGTTTTTTTTGCATTCTTTCTTCAAGCAACCTTTCTGAGCAATCAACGTTTTTTCAAACGAAATTGGATTGCTTTTCAGGAAATCAATGCCAACCACTTGAAAGTTTCTTCTTCCTTCACACCAACCACCCTCAGCTCTGGTAATCTAACGTTTGCATATTTCAAATCAAATTAGCAGCCCACACTGATAGAAATCGAAATAACAAATTTAGACGAAATCTGCGTCACAAAGAAGTAAACAGATATATAACCTGGCTGGCACTTTTTCTTCAGGCAGCCAGCTCGGCCCAGCCCTGACTTGTCGTTCACATATTTGTCATTTGCAGTAAATCGGTACCACACGGCGTATGAGTTTTATGTGCCTTTTTAGCCTGCAACAGTCACACATTCAACACATACACATATGTACGTGCATATATATGCATGTGTGTGTATGTGTTAACATCAATTTGAATTTTACATGTGCTCGTTGATGTGTCTTTTGTGTGTGTGTGTGTGTGTGTGTGTGTGTGTTGGGACCGGAAGCTAGAGAAAACTGCGCTTCATTGCAACTTTGTGTATGGGTATATATGTGTGTGTGTGTGGTTGTATATACAAGTGCTGCGCCAAAAATCGCTAACTGTGACTCAATAGGCAAATAAGCCTCATGAGCTCCCTCAATCGCAAGAGTTGCTGCCATTGCTGCTGCTTATGTTATTATTATGGCTATGTTGTTGCCTCTGTTAATTGCAGTCACTGTTAATGTCGCTGTAATTGAGACTGTCAGTGTTAAATGAACAAAGCGATCGCTGTAGCGCGACATATAGATATGTATGTATGTATGTCGAAAAATGAAGGCGGAAAGGAGTGTTGGGATTATGTTATGTTATGATTATGGCTATGTTGTTGCCTCTGTTAATTGCAGTCACTGTTAATGTCGCTGTAATTGAGACTGTCAATGTTAAATAAACAAAGCGATCGCAGCAACGCGACAGATACATAGCCCATTAAAAAGGAAGACGGAAATTACAATTTAATTAATTATTTATTTTATCGACAAACAATGCAGTCGATGTAAAAGAAAAAGCACACAAATAAAAAATCGGAATTTTATTTGCCTAACGGCCAGCTATGCCCGTTAGATATTTTGTATTTAGTTTAATTTAATACATTTTTATTTTTTGATTAATTGTGACGGCTTATCAATTCATAGAAAGAAAGGGCTGTTGTAACTAACTCATTAATTCGTTCAAAAATTAGTAAATCACTGTAAATCACACTCACAGCAATGTTCTGCTAAAAATCGCCATTTTCGTCACCACTACTATTCGAGTATACGATATGTATGTAGTTTCTATATATACATACTCATTCTCTTATATGGTTGCTTGGGTGGCACTTGTTACAACGGAAACGGATATCCCGTGTGCTCTCCTTATTGCACAGCTTTTGCCTTTGCCTTCACCCATCCCCCAACCCTCCCATTTCGCATTTCGCCTGTTTGTCTTTTCATCATCAGTGCCGGCTTTGGTTGTCCTTGCAGCTCAGGAAATTTTCAAATTGAATGTGCGACCAGTTTGTTTGCCTATTCCACTGGCTTGTCTTAGCCGGAGTGCTGGCCATGTGAAGGCTGTCAACATGCTAAATAATACTCGCATCGTCTTTATTGTTGCCATGTCCAGCACATTTGTCATTCCTGAACTGATGTAGCACTTAATGGCGAGTTTTCTGATTCATTTCCATAAATACAAGTAGTCGCATTGCAAACGCGTCTCTGGCCTTAAAACGCACTCTAATGCCTCCTATACTATATAACACGACACCATCATCACCAGCAGAAAACTAAAACTGCTAACCCAATTTCGGCACGGTTTAAACAAATTTCGTCAGTGCCTCCAGCCTCCAGCCACCAGCCATGAACCACAGCTGTGTGCCGCATCAGGCATCGCCCAGTGCCCTCAATTGCGTTTGCACAGCAGGATATAGTCAAATAAGTACATAGTCTCTGGCCAGCACGCACACACACACACACGCAGGCATTTTACTCCAAATGGCATGTGTAACTACAGCAGTGGCTGAGAAGTAGAGTAGAGAAGTAGAGTCATAGGCATTCCATACCGAGGCATATACGCTCTGTAAAATCCATTAGGAACCATCATAACTATTTAAAGGAGCTGCTTTACTTCCGAAATATGTTGAGAAGGGTTTCTTGAATCAAATTTCTACCTTGAATTTCATTCTGAATTTATAAAATTTAATTGAAATTGAATAACAATAAACAAATTCCTCTCTTACCTTTCATAAAGTTTGATTATGTTATGGTCATATAAACAAATAACTTGGAGTTTACATTTCAAACAAACGTAAAGATTATTATACTATACAATACGCTCTGTATAATTCATTAGAAACCATCATAACTATTTAAGGGAGATGCTTTACTTCCGAAATATGTATGTTGAGAAGGGTTTCTTGAATCCAATTTCTACCTTCAATTTTATTCTGAATGTATTCAATTTAATTGAAATTGAAAAGACAAGGAGTATTTTCTTATAAGCCAATTACTCTCTTATCTTTTATCGAGTTTGATATGTTATGGTCATGCAGGCAAATAACTTGGAGTTTATATTTCAAACAAAAGTCAGAAATTTGGATTACATTTTTTGCGGTATTACACATGTTTGGATAAAAAATTAATGGAAGAGTATTGCTTCCCATTCAAAATGCACTTTTCAGCTTTTCCGCAAATGGGGGCTATTTATATCGTTGGAAGTATTATGAAAGACCCTCTTTATTAAAATCAAACTTCAAAAGCAACAAAATGTGAAGTGTGTTTCGTGATTAGTGCTTCATACTCCTTTGAGAAAGTGTATTTAATGAAAAAAGCTCAGCGTACGCTTGCCTATGCGCTCGCAAGAAAGCTGCTTGCTGGTTGTTGGTTTTTAGTATTATGGTTATGTTTAGTAGTAGCCATTGGTGTTGTAATCTTGCGGCCCAGACACTCTCACACTAACACACACCCACGGCCATAGTATCGGCCACTTACACTTACATTATACATACATATTATCCTATAAACACTTAACGTTGCAAATCGTCGATGGGTGTTTTTTTTTTCTGTCTTGTCTTATCTCGGCTTTTGTGCTTATCGCGCCAATCACAGTTGACGAGGCCGCCCCCACTACTCAACCACCCAAGACAGAATCAGGCCTAACTAAATGTACATATCATGAATATGTATGAGTGCATGTTCATGTATGTGTGTGTGTGTTAGTGTGTGCTGTTGTTGTTTTGTTGTGCCTCGTTATTGTTATTGCGCCGCCTGGCCGTTTGCATTGTATGCGTAGGGATTTATGTTGAAGCTGCGCGCGTGACAACAATAAATTAAGTCACAATCACGCAAATTCACGAAACTAATTCTTATCAAAATCGGTCCATCATAAGGGGTCTGGCATAGCTCATCGAGCTAGCAGGAATCCCACAATGTAAGTTCGTTCCTGAGTAGGCTTGATTGTAAAAATTTCAGTTATTATAAAATTTAATAATTTTTCAATAGGACAAATCCTAAATAAAGATTAAAGGTTAAAAAAAAGTACGTTATATGATAAGCTCTTTAATGTTACAAGATGTGTTAGATGTGTGTCTAGAAACATAAGCCATGTTGCAGAGCTTAAGACTGTACGAATGTTTAAGAGCATAGCTTTAAAAAATATTTCATTTGAAAATTAAATTTATCTTTAAAAATTCAAAGAAAGTGAGCTTAATTCCAAACTGTCGTTTTATTAATTGTTCGTTACTTTATTGAAGGGAGAGGATAGGTCTTTCAACTGAATTATCTCACGCTTTTTCAAAAACCTTCCTTATTGTGTATGTGTGCGATATTTGTTTTTTGACCAGATTTAGATTTGGCCTAGCCAGAATGAACTAGAAAAGTACTGAAATAAAACAATTTTTAAATTGTGTTGGCTTCAATCAATGGTATTTGATTCCACTGCAATTTTGGCAG